TCTTTTCTAGCATATCAGTTGAGACAAAAGACAAAAACCATGGACGTAATTTACATACTTCAATGACATTATTGGGGCATATGTTAAAATAACACATATCAAGAGAACACTTCCTACCTTCATCATCATAAACTAGCATGGCCTTGGGAAACACTCTTGAGCTCACTTTTTCTTTATCTTTTGAAAATCGAAATCCCCCACAACCATAAGTTGTTATTACCTCAAGTGAAGGTAGTTGATGGATACTACTTGGTAGCTGGACCAATGGGCATTCCCTCAAGAACAATCGTTGGAGCCCAACAAGATTTCCAATTGAAAATGGCAATTCCCTTATGGCAGTGTAGTCTAAATATATCTCTTTTATTTCCTCCATAATTCCCCCTACTTCTGGGAAGCTCTCAAGACTTAAGCAACCCGTCAAATTCAAAGTCTCTAAAGATGCCAAGTTGATGGCTGGTACCAAAATTTGTAGCTTGGTGCATCCTTGAACACTCAAAATCATTAGTCTTTCAAGAAATCCAACTGATGTACTAATTCTTACTAAATTAGTGCAATAATCTAGACATAATGCTACCAAATTTGGTGCTTCAGATAAGCTTGGTAGTTCAGTTAAGGACTTGCAACCTTCAAAATTCATAAAGCTTAGCGACTTAAACACCTACAAAACAGAAGTTAATGACGGATATATTTAACAACCAATATGATTCAATTGGTTATGTTCATAAAAATTAGTTGAAATTTTGTAGTTAATAAATTAGTTGAAACTTCATAAGTAATAATTGAAAGCTTATACTTATTAATTGAAATAGAGTTATTGGGTAAAACTAATTGTAGAACTTATTAAAATATGATAACTGACTAAAAGAAAGTGGTTGAAGTATTGCTTCCAAAAAATTCAATATTACTTAAAGTAACTTTTTATAAACTAATTTTTTATAAGCTATAAACTCCTTTTACATTTTGTTTATCAAAAAATTCAACTAATTTATTTATTTAAAATAATAAATTATATGCTCTTAAATAAGTTTTAAGTTTTGTGTTATCACATATACACACTAAAGCTGAAAAAACGCGTTAAGAAATACAAAAACTTTTAAATAAATACGTACCTTTGGTAATCTGAACGATTTGGGGCAACTTTCAGGCAGGCTGAGTATGGCAAGATTCTTGGGATCAAAATCAAATGGTAAAGATGGATACAGATATCCATTCCATTCCAGCATTCTTAAACTATTTGGTAGATTTTGAGGTTCTTTAGAAAAGTGTACATTTCCCATTTTAAGAATTCTCAAGTTTTTCATCATCTTGAAACCCATTCCATTCCACTGCACTTCTTTGACTTTTTGTAAGTCGACGACTATGACTTCGATTGTGTCAGTTCCCTTTCAATTTTGAATCAAAATTTAAACAAATATATCAATTTCCAAGAATTTAATACAATAACAACACAAATGTGTCAACAAAGGAAGATGATAAAAAGAAGTACCATAGAGATGTTCCCAAGTTCCAACATACCGTATTTTCTTCCAAAACATGAACAACATCCTCGTAAAACCATAATCTACTGCGTTTGCCAGGCTCAGATGTTGATTCTCGCCTCACAATTTCTCTGCCCATGTCTTGAATCAAGTCATGCATTACAATACAATGATTGCAATCAATCTTCATCAGAGATTTGTCAATCAACACTTGAATACCGTTTTCCACATGAAAACCACGTATATGTAGTATTTCTTTGACATAGGAAATTTTGCAAGAATTGAAGAAACAAGCAATGTCAAGAAAAATTTCTTTCTCATCTTCTTCCAAATCCTTATAACTAACTTCAAGTACTTCACAGATATCTTTATGAAGAATTCTTTCATATTTATCTAGTGCAGATTTCCATATAGCTAAACTTTTGTCAAACAGGTGAGAACCTATCACCTCCAAAGCCAAAGGAAGGCCATGAAAATAAGAAATTGCACGTTTTGAAATATCTGCATAACATGGATCAATTTTGTTCTTTTTAAAGGCATGCCAACTAAACAATTCAAGAGCTTTTTCATCATTTAACTGTTTAACCTCGTACGATTTCACAATCCCATGAGTATTTAGCAAATGCTTGTCTCTTGTTGTGATTATGATCTTGCTACCAAGGCCAAACCAATCAAGTCCTCCTACAAGAACCTGTAACTGCCTCAATTTGTCAACATCATCAAGAATCAGAAGGACTTTCTTTCTATGAAGCCTCCTTTTTATCATCGAGATTCCTCTGTTAACATCTCTCACTTTGATATCTTCCTCTTCAAGTATATCAGAAAGTAGTATTTCTTGAAGTTGTGCAAGATCATGATTAATTGCTTTTTTTCTTAGATCACCAAGAAAGCACACACCTTCAAATTGATCAGCAATTTTGTTATATACAGCACGGGCAATTGTTGATTTACCTACTCCTCCTATTCCATAAATGCCTACCATGTTGACTCTATCATCAGAGCCAAGTTCTAGGAGAGATTTCACTTCTTGCAATGGAGTATCCAACCCAACTAGGTTCTCAGCAACATATAAAGGTGTAGGATTGATTATTTTAGACACTTTTTCAATGATATTGGCAATAAATTTATATTCTGGTTGTTGTGACCTGCACATTATAGAAGTACACGTGAATGGAAACTATAGCATCAGTCTTGTTTAGTTCAATCAAATCAATCCAAACTATTCATATGCAAATCATTGTCTCTGTTCCGTAGGTTTTCCATCGTCAAAGATTGTTACCATCACAATTTTTGACACACTATTTTTAATATATTTGTTAAAACTTATCAAGAATGTATAAAATTATGAAAAAAAAATCGTTAAATTAAGAGTTAGAATCATTAAATTAAAAATAAAATATTTAAGATGATTTTTGTGATTTTTAATAAATTTTAATTTATAACTATAAGTTAGAAATTGTGTAACTAGATCTCTATGAAAAAAAACTATAATTGTTCTAATATATATTCAATGTATTAATAATATTAAATACACAATTAAATAAAATATATATTATTGATCAAGTTTTTATTATGTGTACTCGGACGAAAAAAAATTAAAAATATATATATCATCAGGCAAATTAAAAAAAAAAAAGAGGTAATATTAGTAACATTAAAGGGATATGTGGGATACCCAAGTTCGAAATGCCAACCAGAGACGTTAGCAGCTTGAGATAAAGCTTCTCTCCATTTTTGCACCTTGTCCTTCTGATCTTGGAACCTCTCCTCATGTTCGGCCATAGCTTCAGCATAAGACCCAGTTTGATGCCGAACTTGTGATGGATTCACACCATAAAAAATTGGCATGAAAGAGCGTCCTTGTGCTTTAGAGCACGCAAGGATCTTGACAAGTTCATCTAAACAATATGTTGAGGATGCATAATTCTCAGAGAAAATAGAAATGAAAATCCTAGATTCTTCAATGGCTTGGAGAAGGGAAGGTGTGATTTCTTCTCCTTTGTTAAGCCCTTCACCATCAATGAAGGTTTGAATACCCTTTTGGCACAGTGAATTGTAGAGATTACCAGTGAAGTTGTTGCGGGTATCCACACCTCGAAAGTTAAGGAAGACATCATAAGTGAAGGAAGATGAACAATGTAATGTTGACTGTGCCATGATGTGGTCTACTACGCTATGAGAAACAACACGAAGATCAAAGCATATCCCAAAAACTATATACCAATAATAATAATAATCTTAATATATCATAATAGTTAAGAACAGAAATTCCTCACTTATCATCAAATTAAAGAAGAACTGTTGATTGGGTTCTCATCACAGGCCCCATTGACTTGGTAGAAAGCAAGTCTCCCAAGGAAGCAACTTTATTCCAACGTAGTACACCTTCTGGTGAATGCTGGGGTACACCTTGTTCTACCACATCAAGAAATTTGCCCGTTTATCGTAACTTCAGATTATTTTAGCATCTGCTTTATTTTTATTTTCATAAATCTTTTAATGAAGTTTTTTTTTTTTTAATTTCAATGTTATACTTTTTAGAAAAGGTTTTTCATTTCAAAACTAAGTAACTCTGATTTCTTTATTATACTAGTTAGTATGCAAGAGTAGGGATCAAAATCTGTTAGACTTAATTATTTTAAAATCTATTTTTTTCAATCTCTTAAAACAATATATTAAATTTAAAAATAAAACAAAATTTTAATTTTTACATAATTTAGATAATTATTTTCACTGTTTTCATAGATGCTAATATCTTCTTTATACATAATTAGATTTTTGAATATTTTTTTCACTGTAGCAATAATAAGAATAATAATAAAATATAAAATTTACACTAATATAACTTAATATTAAAATAATATATATTTTAATCTTTAAAATTAAGTTTAATTATGTTTTTTTTCCTGTAAATATAAGTTAATGAATTTTTTTAAATTATCATAAAGTCTGCTACTCTTGATTAAGCCTTAAAATTACAAGAATATGTGTGGAATAAATATCCAAATGGCTTCTATTTTCAATGTAAAGTAATAATACTCGTAGGGACCATAATGACTCCCATCAAAAGGTAAAAGATTCATACCACTATAGACTTCTACCTCACCATTTGCACCCCTCATCACTTCCAACACACAGAAAAATATTATACATTAAAAATGCTTCATTCATTTTTTATTGGATCAAAATGCTTTATTATATATAACTTTACTTTAGACACTTAAAAATCATTTTTAACTAAAAATAACCCCAAATTCACCATTAAAAGTAATATTTTTAATAAAATTGATAAAACAAGCTACTTGATAAGTAAAATTTAGTTCTTTTTTTTTTTCATTTTTTGTAAGCCATAGTTTGCATTCTTCACTTTAATATTCACAAAAATATGAATATTAAAGTGATACGTTGATGATACGTTTCCTTGTTTCATTGGTATGAATATTTGAAAGGTGAAACAAAGTCAAGTCGTGCAACGTGTCTTAGGATGTAAGCAAGAAATTTCTGCACTCTTTCATTCAACCCTTTTTTCTCTTTCTCCATTTCCACACTGTTATAATATCACGTAATCTACCCAAACCCTGTTTCAACCAACACACTAACAATGGCCACTGCTTCCGTTTTCTTCTCCCTCCTCTTTCTCTTTACCCTTTCGCACGCTCGCGATATTCAGAACCCGTTTCCCCATCCCAAACCTCTATCCGAACCTGAACCCAAACCACACGACACCGTTTCGTTCCCCCTCCACACAATCGATCCCGTTCCGTTGACGCTCCTCCACTTCCGTCCAATCAACCGTCACCTCCACCCTGGCCGTCCTTTACCGTTACCGTCACAGTTACCGTTGTCCCTCCGCAATGGCCACCGTCGATGCCGCCATGGCCACCGCCGCGAGATCTCCTACGGCAACGACATGCTCGTCGACGCCTCCGGTGGCTCTCGCCAGATCCCGACGCGGTGGGTTAGGGCTCACAGCGTCGCCGAGCCGCGGTTGCCGGAGATGATGGGTCACCCCGATTCCGATCACGAACATCTCCACCATGTCCATCGCGAGCACCACCACCATCACCACCGCAGCTGGTTCGCGAAGAGGTTTCGCGAGTTCTTGAACCTGTTCTGATTTCGATGATGCTACTGAATTTCTGATGACGATGATGATGCATATTTAGTTATATAAATACGAGTGTTTTATTGTAAATAAGTTTGCATCTGACCTAAAGATGTGGGAAGCATGTATGTTTAGTTTGGAATTTTTGACTTTTTTAAATTAAAAGTATATATAAAGTGAGAAAGTAAATATTTATTTTTTTGTTGCTTTTTAAATTTAATTATATTTATAAAATAATTAAATTTAAATTGACGATAAATAAATTTTATTTTCTCACTTTATATATTTTTTCTTTTAAAAGAGTTGAATCTGTATGATTTTATCTACACTACTACTACTACTACTCTTACTGCTAAGTTTTATGTTATTTATGAGTTGTGAGGATATTTAATAGAATAATACCATGTTACTGCCACAACCGACTCTTACAGTGGTTGATGATGAATGAGCAGAGGTGTTATATTTGCTTGCTGCTAATTGTGTGTACCTTGCTTTTGTGTTGTATGTGTGAGGTGCAAACTCCTTATCACAATGACTTGTATTTTATGATTGTCAATGCTATTAATATTACTGTCAATGACTTTTGCTTTGTTTTGGTTCAACTTTACAACCATTGGAGGCATGAAGAAGATTAAGGGCATGTGTTGAATCGTGTAATTGAAATATCCGAAAATCAATTTTTTAATACCAAAGTAAATAGAGACTAAGGTTTGTAGTTTATCATGCTAAGTGAGGGTTGGTGGATGCATGTTATGGAATGTAAACAGAGGCACGAATACATTCTTTTAACATACTTGTTTTAATATATTTACTAAAATTTATTAAAAATCATAAAGCATGAGAGAAATCCTAAATAGAGATGAGAAAAAGTGATATTTATATGATATTTATATTTTTTAATAAATTTTGACTAATAAGTGAAAGTGTGTATATAAAGTGTAATTTGTGGTGTCTTTGAGGACAGCAGGAGATTAAGAATAGTAATTTTTTGGGCACTTTTGGATCATGTATTCCCTTCCTGTAAAGCAAAATATGTGTACTTGAAATCATATTTTTGACAATTTTTAGGATAAAACCAATTTTGTTGATGCGACACAGTCCAGTTGTAAAATTGCGAACACCACGTATTCTGTGCTACTCACCTATTACCTTATTAATCTTTATGTTCATTTTGCTTGGCTTTTGCAGTTTTTACATATCTAAACTTCAACTATTTAATGACACAGGAGTTAACAAATTTCTTTATAAGTGAAACGCAAATGACTCTAATGATATAATTTGTGAATACAAAATCAAATATAATGGATATAGAGATATCTATATCTGTACAGTATAATATTCGTTTATTTTTTAAAAGCGTAGAGACATGTGGTGCTTTTTGAAAATCCAATCATCTTGAATCATACTGCTTATTATGGAATGAAAATTTTACATGCTAAGTTGGTTCTTGATTGACTAACATTATTTTAAATTTTCCTTTTAAAAAATTCAGGCACTACTCAACATTTCCTGGGTTTATATATGGTGAACCTGACCCAAAACCAGATCCAACATGCTATCTTTCTTTCGTGTTTTTTAATAATTAAAGATGGGTCATTCCAAGCTTGTCTAATTTGGCAGAGTTTCAATCTACTCCTTTAGGCCTAGCATTCTGGTTCTCACCGGACCCAAGGGTAGCTTTATTAGTGTAACCGTTGGATCTTCTCTCTTTTTTCACAATTAGCAAAACAAGTGAGAAGTTGAATAACAACCCCAATTTTACTTAAGATATCGTTGCTTCTGTAATTAAGCATTTAAGTGTGTTTGGAAAGACGTTAAGAAGTCTATAAATGAGGATCTAACACATAAGTTACAATTAATTTTGTTGAAATAAAAGTGGATTCATGCCTATCCAAACCTAAATCCAAATATGTTATTAATTTATTTTTTTTTAGGAATTAAGATAAGCAACTACAGTAAAATTGTGAAGTTAGTTGAAAACCATTGTTGAATGCATGAATGTAAATGTTTAGTACGGAGACAAATGTTTGGATATTTCCCCTGCTGGTGTGGGAAGAAATTTCACGGGATTTTATAGTTGGGTGATTAGGTGGAAAGCAAAATATAGAGGAACCCCACTTTGGGAAGATGAATTTACCACATGAAGTCAATTATCAAAATTCAACCTTGAGGACAAAGTTTATTTTGCTGTTTTTGAGGACAAAGTTACTACCACACTAGGGACAATAATGGATATTTAGTTCAAATGGAATATGCTGAATTTTTCTCATGATTTTGAAAACTGGATCGAGAATCAGTCAAATCACCACCTTAGAAAATTAGTGGATGGTCAAAACTTGCTACGAATCGGTGCCAAAAAAACTTATCCGAAGCAGTCGGTTTAAAATAAAATATACATCTTTTATTTTTTAAATATTCATGCTAAAATAAATTTTTTTAAAATATGAGATGCTATATTTAACCACTTTTATGAATTTTTTTTTTATCTAATAAAGCATGCAACTTAATCTTTTTACATCAACTTACAAGTTCGCTTAACTTTTCTTTATATATATTTATGAATTGCTATATTTAACTACTTTTATCATCCTGCAAATGGTTTTGGATCCATGAAATATACAAGTTTTAGACCTAGAAAAAATATAAAGATACCAAGGGCAATGCTTGAAGAACTTACTCACTGGGCAAGTTAGTTATGCTGAAATTAATGATTCACGTGACGGAGGGGGTTATCAGGGCAGGGCAGAGAGAGAACTAGAGAGGAGTATGTGTGTTTTGCTAGATGAGGGCTATAAGCTTTACCAGCCTAGGTTGTGGTTGTAGATTTAAGATGTTCTATCCTTGTATGATCTTTTTCTATTTTTATTTTGTATCCATTAACACAATACCTGATTTTTCCTGTGTCGTTTGCTCTCTAACAACCAATAAGTTCTTCCACAAATGTTGGTGCCAAGTTGCATGCTGAGACCAACGAAATGAAAGAAAAGCTTTCCCAAAAATATATAAAAAAGAGAGAGGCTACCATGTCCTGTGAAATAGAAAAACACTCAACTGAGTAGTGAAATAACTACTCTCTCATGTCTTTGGTCCATTGGCCATTTGCCACAGAAGAAAACCAATGCCAGATGAAAAGGTTCAAATGAAAGAAAGAGGTCATGAGCTACTACTAGTTACTGGACCACCTGACTCATTCATTAGGGTTCTGCAAGCTTAAACTATTGGCCAGTGTATAATTGAACAGGACATTTTTTATGTATTTGACAAGGATATCCTCATAGCAATAACTCTGAGGCTAACTCATGAGTCAGAAGTGGTTGTTAGATAAGGCCCTCCACAAATTCGAGATGCTTAAAGTTTATCTTCGGTCATAGTCCACTTCCACTACGACTAATCACTACTGGATTTATACAGGGATAATCCCAGGAGCACAAAATAAGAAATGAATAAATAGTAAACTTTTATTGAAAATTATATCATTTTAATATTAATAATTTATTAGATTTTGTAATATTTTATAAAAATTTACTATATAGAGGTTTTTACTGTGTCGTTAGAAAAACTGTGAAACAAAATCATTAGCATACTTGCACCCAATTAAACTATGAACACTAGATCAAGGAGAGAAGATCGTAATATCCCAATCATTTTGAGAAGAATCTAATTAACGACGTTGCTCACACAATAAATTTGACACATGATACTCAACATGTTTGACTAAATTTACATGCACATCATATAAATCAAATGGGGGTGAATTCATTGATCTGTATTATAATAAATCAATAGAAGAAGCACTTAATTACGACAATATCCAAAGAGAGAGAAAATCTCTAATCTCAAGAGTAAATGGTACATGATCCAGACTCTTGGCTACTAAGCTGAGAACATGGCCATGGACTAACCTGATGAGCAAATCCAAACACATCAGAACACCTCCAAGAAGGAGATTTAGGACCTTGCATACCATGAAGGTTGATATCAGATAGACAAATATCAGTGAAAGGGGAATTTCTCAACCCATGTATCAAACCTGCTTGCTGAACCTTCACTCCCCAAACATTATTAATCGTGATACCCTTGACAACTGGGAGAGCATTAGGATTGAAGTTTCCATCTGGATGACCCCCCACATCACCTGCAATTTTTATTCCTTGCCTTGCATTTTCCACATACACATGACTCACTGTTATATTCTTGATAAGCCCTCCTCTACCACTGTTTGTCTTAATGTTGATACCAACCCCCATGTTGAAGAGGTTGATGTGTTCAGCTAGCACATTCTCCACCCCACCAGAGGTTTCACTGCCAATTGCAATGCCAGCAAATGGAGAGGATCCTGTTAGACGCCGAATGGTGATACCGTGGCTAGGACGACCATATGCTATACCATACTCATCCCACCCACTCTTCACAGCCACAAGATCATCTCCTGTTGATATATATGAGTCCTCTATGCATACATTTGAGCTTGAATCTGCATACATGAAATTTATAGATGATTGAGTACAAAAGCTTGTGGCTGAGCAAGAATATAACATGCTCTATGACATTACACTTGATAGCGTTAACTGTTGATTTATGTATCAAGAAAACAACATATAAAATCCTATATCTGGATAAGATACTAGTAAGCTCTTAAACCACATGGCACTACACTTGTGTTCTCAACATTTAGTAATTCCAATACTTCACTTGAACAATTTATCGCCAATAAGTGATAAGGCATATTTCTCTTATGAAGGAAAGAGTTTAACAACAAATAATTGAAACTTAATGAGATCAGTTGGTGTGAGGTTTGACTAATTGTCACAACTACTTCACTATTTGCACAAGATATGGCTTATTTGGATAGAATTTACCTGGATCAATTCCATCAGTATTCGGAGAGTCACGAGGAGCCAAGATTGTGACAAATCGAATAACAATATTGCTGCAAAGAAGGAAGAATGTTTTGAAATTATGTCAGGAAGAAAGATATACGTCTTTGACTTCTTTTCAGTTTGTTTTAAGCTAGTTGCAATCAAGAAAACGAAAATATTGTTAAAATTAGTACTCATTGCTCCATTATACCTGCAATAAACTGGGTGTATATTCCAGAAGGGAGAATTCTTGAAAATCACATTTGAAATAATAATATCTCTGGAATTCATAAATTCAACAAGGTTTGGTCTTGTATACTGAAGTGTTCTCTGCCTCCACATATTCCACCACACATCTCCTTGCCCATCAATTGTCCCATTCTCACCTATGAAAATTTGGGGTGAATCTCCCTTAAAGTGAGTTTGTCTATAAAGTGCACAAGAAAGGTGTATCTACCCTAAATTTAATTTAAAGTACTCCATTATCATGGAAGCATGCAGGCATAGTTTAGAAAGGTATGCAGAAACTTACAGTTCCCAAGATATCCAATCCATAGTGGCTATGCAGTATAGACTATAGAGCTTTTTCACCATGAATTTTTTTCTTTTTCTTCTTTACTAATTAAAATATTATACTTTTCATTCTTATATGCTTCAATAATTTGATATCTTTATATTTTGGATACCCTGGTCTGATACCAATACAAACTAAGAAATCAAGAGAAGAAAGTAATTTATTTCTCCGAAAATGTTAAAAATTCGATACCCACCTGTGATTATTACATCACTAAGTCCATCTCCATGGATAAAACTCATATACCTTCCTCCAGGGAGCTCTCTCCCTCTTCCATAAGATGGTAAGGGTGCAACTAAAGGCCAATTCCACAACTCCTAAAGAATGAAGAGATGAAGAACATTAAAAAGTGTAGTTTAAAAAAAAGACTCAGTTCATCACATGCTTTTTACCTATCATGTTTCCTTTTCTCATAGACAAACAATAAAATGCATTAATAGAAGGAAGAACAAAGGTATTTTTGAGTTGCACTGGACTTTCAGCATTCACTTCAGATCATATTCTAGCAGCATAACATATGAATTCTACTTAATATATAAACGTGCCAAATGAGGTTGAGAGTCATAGTCCTACACTCCTATCTGATAGATTTACACCATTCATCAAGAATTGAATGTTGAACTGATACATAAGGCAGGTACTTTTTATTATGTATGAAGCTGTAACTGATTTTCCAGGTTGCTCATAAGTTCATAACCATGCATTATGAGAGAAAAGATGAACAAAATAGATTTTGCTATGTACTGCACTGCTAGAATCTACATTATATATGGAGCTTGCTTATCTAAAGCTACTGGGGCTTGACTGTGTTCTAAAATCTATAGCAAGCTAAGTGCGTGTTTGGAAACGATTAAATTTGGAGAAATAATCACTTATTTTTCGAAAGCTCTCTCAGGAAGCTGCAAAAACTAACCGATTATTTCTTCAAAATAAGTTAACCCAAACATGCACTACGTGTATTAACAAAATAAGTAGCATTTCCAGATCTCTGATACTATGGTGCTATTCATTTAAAATTGCTATAGACAAAAAACACATGAATAGTACCCAAAATTAGTTTTTTCATCAATTTACATGATACCCTAATTTCAGATTTTGTTATTTAAATAAATGAATCAAATTTTCATTAGCAGAATAAGGCAGCAGTATCCCACTTCTTGATTTTCAAAGTAGACAACACTAATGGCATAACCAACAATCCAGCTGTCCAACAAAGCCATTATCAATGCTTTAAATATCACATGCACATGCGGCTATGCAGATAAGAGACCCCCCCAATACTCCTCATCCCTTCACCCTGATGAGGCCCACCATAATTCATGTGAATTTTTTGCTTTCGACAACCAATTATCCATAAAGTCCATACTCCATGTTACCAACCATAGATAATTCACACTAGCAGATAAACATGTATAAATCGACCCAATTCATCATACATACATACATACCTTTTATCATGCACAAATGTTCCTTCTTTCAGTCCTCTCACCATTGTATTATTGACCCTTTACTTTATTTTTCCCTCAAAAATTGCTAAGGGACTTAAAATTTATGGTGTCAAATTCCAACATTCAATTTTGGCCCTTCTTAAATTTTCTGAAAATATGCTGTCATTTGCTGGCATTTTTGCATTGCAGTACCTATCATAGTCATTATCACTTTGATTTTAGAGTCAGGTGGGCTCTACAGACTCCGCTACGGGTAAAAAGAAAAATTACATCACAAATTGTCAGACATTTTCTATTAATAAAAGATAATATAAAATTTTCATTATTTTAGTAGTACACATCGTATTCATCTGCTTCCGAACAAAATGATGTACACCGACATAAATTATGATTACCGCAATGAAATAATAAATTAATATTATAACCTAATAATAATACGTGACTACGTGTTCGATTAAAAAAATACTGTGATAAAAATATAATATCATTTATTTTTCTATATATTCAGACTCAAACTCGGAATTATTGATTAATTATATTATCACACCATTTAATATACTACTGATTAAATTCGTTAAATGTTGACAAGGTAAAATTTTGACCATCATTGCATATAAATTACATTTTATTAATAAAAAATTAATATAGTTACAAACACAGATTGTCTTAAGGATGCTATTCATCTGTGTCATTTTCCAGTGGGTTAGGCCTTGTGTTAACACGGAATTTCTAAACTAAACTACTTCCTATTAAACAAACGAAAGGCTCTTAAACAACGAATTTCTGAATACACACTTAATTTGAGTCCACTATTACTATTAGCCACTGTAATATTAAAAAGTTATTATGTATCAACTCATTAATGCTTTTACAAAAGTTTACCAATCTTTCGCAACAAAACTTATTAAAAAAAGACATTTTTAAATAAAGAATTTACCTACTAATTTCGTGTTTGATTTAAATCATGTACACGAATTGGTATTTAAATTATCAAATGAATATCAATTATTTTTAAGTTCTCAATTTTACCCAATTTAAATAAATAACTAAATCGTAAATGAGACCCATTTCATCGATCAAAATACCGTTTTTATTATAATTATACCTTTCTCTTTCAAAAAACACATCTGAAAAGAAATTTGACTCTGAAGTGTTCTTTGGGCTTATCTTCGGAAACAAAAATTGTTTGCATTCGACTCATAAAATATTTTATTTGTAATATTTATGCAAATCAATCTTGAAAAAAAATAAACTTACATACAACCAAATTAATAATTTCAACAAATCGAAAACTCCAAGAGTCAATTTACCGTTAGAGACCAGACAAACACATTTAAAATCCATAATCACTTAATTTCTTTAGCAGAAAAATTAAAATAAAACAGGAATTCAAAGAGAAAGAGTAATAAGAAATCGGTAATTAAACGTTAATAGAGTTTTTAACAGTACCTGTGTGGCTTTAATAACAGCACCAGCAGCTAGATAGAGAGTCATATGACTAGTGAGGTTAAAGCTCTCTGTTAAGTAAACCCCCGGAGGCACGTAAAGGAGCGTGCCACCGCGCCTTCTCAGGTGCTGAATGCGGTATATGGCTTCTCTGAACGCCTTCGTGTTCAGCGTGCGCCCATCGCCGACGCCACCGAAGTCCGTTAAGGAAATCTTGTCGCTGCGGTATCTCAGCGGCAACATATCGGAACATGTTGCCGCCGAAGAATTCGCCGCCGCTACAAAGTGAAAGAAGAAGAAGAGGAAGAGCAGAGTGCATGAAAACGAAGGTGAGAGAAGCATTTTTTGAGAGCGTTGGTTCATAATAATGATGAAAGCATTGGTAAAGTTATGCATTATATTATGAAAGAGAGAAAGGAATCTGTATGAAGAGTCACAGTTTAACACTGTGTGTGTAACTATATTATTAATTTTATAAATAATAATTTAATATATTTTTTAAATAATTAAAAACATTAGATAAAAAAAATTGAATGTGCTTTGATTAGATATTTTAAAGATTAAATTCTTACTTAAATAAAAGAAAATAAAAATAAATTTTTTATTTAATTAACTGGAACATTCATTTATCGTGAACTTGGTGTTTTATACACTTTTTAAGTTAATTATTTATAGTTTAAATTTTAAAGTTGTAATTTTTTTTATTAATATAAATATAATATAATCGTGCAAAAATGAGAAAAAAAATCAAATTTGTTGGAAAATCATAAAATGTATTTGGTTGAAAATTGTAAAATACACATTTTTCTTATAAGTAATTACAAAAAGGGTCATTTTTGGAGAAAAGGTAATACTTAGTATTGAAACTTGACAGATTGATATGCCTTTTAATAACTACAATTTTTGTATAAAAAGAATAAAAGTAAATATTATTTTATAAAGTTAGAGATTAAAATAATTTTTTAACTGACGTTCGTATCAAATTTAATAATGGTACTAAAATGCTTCAGAATGAAACTTTGATGTTTAATTAATATAAATCATTCTTTAGGAAAATACATTGAAAATGAAAATAGTAAATATTTTAATAGATATAAAAAAGGAATACGTTTAATATCTTTAAATAGGTCTAATGTCAAAAGAATATGTTCAATTTCAACTATAATAAATTTAACCCTAAATTATTAAAATTAAAAAAATATTTTTATTCTATTTTCCTTTTGAATAATATATAAATATTATTATTTGAATTTTTATATTAATTAAAAATTATAATGATTAACTATTTTATATTAATTTTTTATATTAAAATTTCCTTTTATATCAAGATTTTAAATTCTTGACTCTCAAATTTCATTATTATGATTTTTATAATATGTGCCTAAAATTACACAATAAAAAAATAAACTTTTAAATAACAGTATTTAATATTATTAATATATTTCATTCTTAGAATTTTTTAATATATATATATATTATTTGATACATAATAATAAACTACCAAGCATGCTGGAGTTGTTCTAATTTAACTTGTTTTTTAGCAGAATTTCTTTAATTTAGAAAAAATTATTATTATTATTATTATTATTATTATTATTGTGGGTCCTGGTTTGTAAAAAAAAAAAAGGGAACCCATGTGGTATGCTTATATTGAATGTTGGGGATCAAAAGGTGACTTATGGTTGTGGAGAGTGGAGATAGGTTGTGGAGAGTGGATGATGATAGGTTAATTGAAGAGAAATTTTATTCTTTTAAAATAAAAAGATGAGAAGTGAAAATGTTAATTTATTTACATTAATTAAAAGTTAATTATATTTATAAAAATTTTAAATATAAATTAAATTACATAAATCCATTAAAGAGATAACTGATGAGATGAGTATAATACATTTGTGAGAATATGTATTTTTATTAACTACCATTCTCGAACACTGTAGGAAATTATCTTGGGTTGAAACCAACAAAAAAACCATGGCCCAGTGCCCAGTTTGTATAAACAGGAAAACAATAATAATGTTAAAATAAATAATTTTTTCATAAGAAATATTTTATTTTCTTAAATTTTATAAGTATTAAATGAATTTTTTTTTAAAGAATAAAGAAGTATAAGTTGTTTCTAATTAATGAAAAATATTTTATTATTTTTTGTACTACTTTTTTTATAAAAATTTGTTTAAAAGTCTATCCAAATTAGACCATGTAATTATGTAAGTTTATTATAATTTCAATATATCAAACTCATTTTCTAAAGTATTATAATTTATTTTAAAATAATACTTTTATCGTATAATATTAATTTTTTTAAATAAATGTTATTAATTATTACCTGTTACTAACCATAAACTCTTAAAAATAAATTCTAAATATTTTTTTATTTAAATTACGACTATTTTTTTTTATCAAAGACATTCTTGTTTAAGCCAAATAAAATCAGTATCAGTGATAAGATTTTTCCTCTTAATAACATAGCTACTTTTTATAAATATTAAAATAGATATTTCTAAAATATATAAAAATTTACATAAAATAATAAAAATAATTAAAAAAACAAATTTAATTTCTAAAATTAAAATATAATTAAAAATATGTAAAGTAAAAGATAAAAAAATTATAATACTAGAAAGTGTAATTTACATTATTATTCTAAGTGATTTTTAATCTTAAAATATACACACTAATGAATTGTGAAAAAAAGTTGTTTTACTTCTAATTATCCTTTCTTTGTTGAGAAATTTGTACTATTTATTTATATGCATATACGTTGTCATTTCTTTACATGTCTTTTAACAAATAGTTTTTAATTGCAAAATAATAAGTTATAAATCACAAGTTCAAACATTATTTTAAGTAGCAGTTGAAAAAACTTATAAACTAACAATATAAATTCGTTGACTAAGCAACTTCATTTTATTATTTAAATTCAAAGTCACTTTAATTAGTATCTTTTAAAAATACTATAAATTAGTGAGATAAACTCACTTATCAAATATCTTTACTTTAATCAACCAAACTTAAATTTTTTTAAAATAAATTATAAATTAACAAAAATAAAATATTGAACAGACTTCAAATAAAACTAAAGCATTAGGTAAACTTCTTGATAGTGAAAAAATATAATTTATGTTTAATAAATTTTAAAATTTAATTATAATTCTCCAAAGCTGAAAGAATGGTATTCACTTAAGTGATATATATTTTTAATAGGACCAAAACTATCAGTTAATTTATTTAACCTTTCCCCTCTTTTCACATTAATAAAAAAAAGGATGAAAATAATACTAAATATTATTTATTTATTGTGAAAAAAAAAAAAAGTCTGTGAATCTAATCACTAAAATTAGTAACACTAATACGAATCGAGATAATATTTTAAAAAAATGTAAATTTTTTTTTCGTAAAAACTCGTAGTACTATTTCGCATGCAAGTTCACGTGCTAAGGGTAGATAAAATTTTCTTGACGCAATTAGATGAGAAAATCATTGCTGAGAATAAAAAGTCAACATAGTACTATAAAAAAAAAGTCTATTTAATTGCTTTAAAAGTATTGGTTAAAAAATTAATAAATAGTTTTTTTTTATGTCAAACATTAGGTTTGAATATGTTAAAAATTATAAAGAAAGTTAATTGTTATATTTTTTTAATGAAAAAATTTAATTTAAATTTAAATTTCTTAACTAGTGTTTTAAGATCACATATTAGCATTTGTCTATAAAGAATGGCAAGATGTGTAAATAAATTGTATGAAGTGAGGGAGTTAATTTGATCCACTTGTCTACATCTAAAAGAATATGAATAAAACTGGTGGGTACCAACAAGAATGGTAGTTGCTAAATCTTGTGTCACATTCACACTAGTATTCCATAAATCCCATTTTTTATAGTTCCATTATACTAGAAATTCCACCTTAGTTTCAAAATCATGGACTCAGAGACAGGTTACCAGCCACTGCTACTTAGGCTTGACTCACACTCTCCCATTCCAGATTTGTCATCAGATACCATTGAAGAATTCTTGGAACATGGGGCTATTGAGTTGAGATGGTGGCCTCAACTTGTTGCTTGGGAGTCAAGGCTCCTATGGATCCTCTCAGGAGCTTCCATTGTTGTCTCCATTTTCAACTACATGCTAAGCTTTGTGACTTTGATGTTTACTGGGCATTTGGGACCTCTAGAGCTTGCTGGGGCATCCATAGCTAGTGTTGGAATTCAGGGTCTTGCTTATGGGATCATGGTATGCTGCTTTTATCCTCTCAAATTTCTACTTATCTGCTGCCTGTTTGAAAGAGCTTATGGACTTGAAAGATTTCTGTAAGTTCTTTTTAGTTTGTTTCAATAAATGTTTTATTATAATTTATTAAAATAAGTTGTCTTCGTCTTATTTCGATAAGTTTTTTTTAGTTAAATTTATGTCATAAGTCATCATGTAAAAAAAGTTTATTGAATAGGCACTTAAGAAGGTGTGATCCGAATGTACAGTAGCATTTTGTGCCAGCTTCGTTTTGTATTTTAATTAGTAGATGCTTCTGGCTGTTTTTCTTACGGAACTGTGTTGATTTTTTCAGAAATTAATGTTCCTTTATTTGTGGTTATTTTAACAATATGTTAAGCATTAAATTGGATCCTAATGCTACTTGTCATATAAATGAAACCACGCGCCATTTAAAAAATATATAGCTAGCTTCCTTAAAATAGCTTCTTACCTAATTTTTGAGAAGTATAATACTATAATGGCAATACTTCCACTTGAATGTAAGACACTAGTAGTAAAAAATCTGGGGTGATATTAGAATGCAGGTCAGCATAAAGAACTATGAAATGTTGCATTTAGTTTCAATTATACACTAGAATTAGCTTATGACCTGAAAATTGTTTTCAATGTTGTTTTGTACATCTTTCATTGAGGGGCAATTTCCATTGTGAATGTGATTATTGAATTCCCTTATAACAGTTGGGCATGGCAAGTGCAGTGCAAACTGTGTGTGGACAAGCATATGGGGCAAAAAAATATTCAGCAATGGGCATAATATTGCAAAGAGCAATCATCTTACACTTGGGTGCTGCAGTGATTCTCACATTTCTCTATTGGTTCTCAGGGTCATTTCTAAAAGCCATTGGGCAGTCAGAGAGCATAGCAGAACAAGGTCAAGTTTTTGCCCATGGAATTGTTCTTCAACTCTATGCATTTGCTATATCCTGCCCAATGCAAAGGTTCCTCCAAGCCCAGAACATTGTGAATCCACTGGCTTTTATGTCTACTGGGGTATTCCTTTTGCATGTGCTTCTCAGTTGGCTAGTTGTGTATGTTTTGGACTATGGACTACTTGGTGCTGCCCTTACTCTTAGCTTTTCTTGGTGGCTTCTTGTCTTGTTAAATGGGCTCTATATCATTCTTAGCCCAAGATGTAAGCAAACTTGGACTGGCCTCACTGTGAAAGCCTTCAAAGGAATTTGGCCTTATTTCAAGCTAACAGTTGCTTCTGCTGTTATGTTGTGGTATGATCCAAAAGGCTACCTATTTCTCACTTCCTCACACACACAAACAACACAAATGTCAATTTAAAAGTTCATCTCTTAGGGTATTCGATTTGAGAAAATAATTTCTGTTTTCATTAATAATTACAAAACACTACCTTTGTTCTTATTTTGTCCTCTGTTTTCAAAGAATTGTTTGGTGAAAATACTACATATTATTATTTGTACCATTTCTTGTACACATTTTTTGAGAAGAGGAAATAAAGTGAAAATAAGGTAATTTTTTATAATTATTAGGTAAAACAGGAAACTAAAACAAGAAAAAAAAAAAACTCAAGCCATACAGAGACCCTTTTAAGTTCCAATGATTTTTTATTTAACAAGCTGAAAATACATCCTAATGTAGTTTGGAGATATGGTACAATCAGGGCCTAGTACTTATATCTGGTTTGCTCTCTAATCCCACAGTTTCACTGGACACTATTTCCATTTGGTAAGTTATTCTCTCTAAGAATAACCTTTATTGCTATATCCAATTATACTTGATGTTATCTAACCATAATTTCAATGTCAATGAATGTACATTTAGCATGAATTACTTGAACTGGGACATGCAATTTATGTTAGGCCTAAGTGCAGCAGCCAGGTTAGTGTCAAAAGACTTATAACAAAAGATATTTATATAAACAACTTTCATACAAACATGTTAATGGGAGGTTGGGTGATTGCAGTGTCCGAGTTAGCAATGAATTAGGAGCAGCTCATCCAAGAGTAGCAAAATTTTCAGTCTTTGTAGTGAATGGAACAAGCATTCTCATCAGTATAGTTTTCTGTGCAATAATTTTGATATTCAGAGTTGCTTTGAGCAAGCTTTTCACTTCTGACACTGAAGTCATTGAGGGTGTATCTAGTTTGACTCCATTGCTTGCCATCTCAGTTTTCCTAAATGGAATTCAACCAATACTGTCAGGTAACAAAATCTTTAATCACAAGAGCAGCTTCAATTTCATTGCCAGAGAGTACATTTGAAAAAAGATTTTTGAAAGGGATGAGAAGAAAGAACATATTTTTTAACTTTAAATTAAAAAAATTATATATCATTTATAATAATAAATGTATGATTAATATATTAAGTTTAAATATATTTATTTAAAATAATTTTTTTTATCTCTCTTTGTATCCAAAACTCCCTTTTAACTTCTAAGTTGATTTTGATACAAGAAAAGGTAGGTGAAGTAAATTGCACAGTTGGAGCAACGTAATATACAATCTCTTACATTAGTTAAATGAATCATAATCTCCTTCTATTCTTTTTCACATATTTAATCACACAATTAAACCTTCTTGGCGCATTTTCAAATTATCTTAACTGATTTTTGTCATTTTTTTATTAAGAGCTATCACAATCTTTTCTGTTATGCAATCATTTCTTATACTAGCCTTTTTTATGACATGACTACACATCTACCTAAATATTATCATATTTATTGTTATTATTTTTTTCCGTGGAGCTGTATAACAATATAAAAAGAAATCTTAAAGTTGATGAGATATATAAATATAGATTCTGTTTAATAAATTTTTAGGCTCAATGATTAGATAGGAGGTCGCTTAAATTTTAAAAAATAAAAAGGGATTTAAAGGAATATGTGTCTTTGTAGAATCCATACCAAAAAATATAAATTAAATATTAAGCAACTTCAAAATTGTGCACCATTAGAGATACTCTAAACACCAGTTCTGGTTTAGGGAGAATTCTAGGCTCTATCTACCCCCAAGTGATATGACAGGGGGCAGTTGAATATAGTCAATGGATCATTTCAAATAAATGTGATTTCAATTCATTAACTTTAAGTAGTTCACTAGTTATATCAATTTAGCAATTTGATAAACACTTGTTTGCATCCTTACTTTTGATTCTTACTGTTGTCTACTTGTATATGGAAAATTTAAGGAGTTGCAATTGGAAGTGGGTGGCAAGCTGTAGTGGCATATGTAAACTTGGCTTCTTACTATGTCATTGGTCTAACCATTGGATGTGTTCTTGGCTTTAAAACAGCTCTAGGAGTAGCTGTAAGTTTAAAATACTTCCTACACCAACTCTTTTTTACTAAGTTTGCATCAATATTTGAATGATGGTATGCATTTGGGATTTTCAAAGGGTATCTGGTGGGGGATGATCCTTGGAGTTCTAGTACAAACAGCAACTCTAATAATTCTGACTGCCAGAACAAATTGGGATGCAGAGGTAATAAAAATATGTAAAATACTACTTATGTTACAGGAATTGCTTGTGACATGTAAAGTTCTGAACCAATTTGTGATGCAATCTCAGGTTGAAAAAGCTGTAACACGCATCAAAAGATCTGCAGAAGAAGAGAACCTAGATCACTTGATTGCCAACGAATAGGATTTTCATTTTCTCTAGAAGCTTATAGAAAAGTAGTTTTAGCAGCACAGCAACTTGTTCTGGGCCACATGCATTTATTATTTAGTCAGTTTCTCCTCTTTGTAGCAGTTCACATAATTTTGATTTGAGTGGTATTAATTGTATTATGTATTATTCACCTAAGTCCTAAACGTTGATTTTTAAAGAAAATTCCAAAAATATGTCCACGGGTGCTTAAGGCAATAGTTCAAAGAAAAAGTTGAAAATTCATGACAATGGATAAGTAATTGTTTTATGCCCATGTTACAAAATAATTCTAACTTATGACTCAAGGTTTAAGCCCCCTAAAATGTCCCTGCATAACCACACAGATTAAAATATCCAAAATAGTAAATCGTGTGTTGCTAAATCCAAATGAATTTTACACTCTTTTTTACAACGTACACAGAATTCAAGATGCATTAACCTGGAGGAAAACCGTGCTATTATTGCATGGTAAATAAACGTGATCTTTATATAATTTGATGTATAAATATAATATTTCCTAAATCAAATGCCTTTACTTTATATGAAACATAAATTTAATATTAAAGACTTAATTGGACTTTTAATCCCTATATTTTAATATACTAATGATTTTAGTCTTCTTTATTTTAATTACTTAAATATTTAAATTAAGTTTTTCATTTTAAAATTATATAATTTTATTATATTTTATATATTTCTAATTTTATTTAAATATGTTGCATATTTTATTCTTTATTTATTTATATAAGTCAATAAAAGGTCATACTCATTATATTTTTATTAGTTATTAGATAAAATTTTAAAATAAAAAACTTAATAAAAAATTAGAAAGACTAACTACGAACAATTAACATTCAATAGAAGAGAAAAAGTACTTTTAAGCCAAATAACAAACCATAACCTGTTGACGAATGTGGTTTATTATTAATCTCTTAAGATGATAATCTTCATAAATACATGATGTATTCATTAAAAACGAATTTCAGAGACCAAAACAAGATACTGCTTCAAATATGTGTCAAAATAAAGTCTTCATATCAAAATTTGTTAAAGCTTCTTATTCTTTGCTTATCATTTGTACGTTCCAAGTATTCTCAAACTCGCCTAAAAATTTATGGAAAGTAGGGGAGTCGACAGATGAGAAACATGTTTGAAAGATAAATCATTGCACGAAACAACCATCCATACAAATAACACCCCCTAATTTGTCAAATTCTTAAAATGATTTTATGCTCTGCAGTAAAAATTAATTTAAACGACAAGAGATAAAATCCCCACATTGATACCATATTTGACTACGCAAATTAATACTCGATACAAACAAATGCATTTCTGACATTTCAAGACCGATGATTCAAACTCCACAAGTGCCAACAACGTCTCTCAGTTACAAAACATATACATTACCAGTTTTTCACAACATTAACTACGGACATGCAACACAAAGGTGACTTCACGAGACACATTTAAAACCGCACGAAACATTTGCTAATTGATCACAGTGGAACACAAATGGCACCCAAGTATGGGATTCTGTCCAATAGAAGTTGGTGACCCAAAGATGATTGATTACATACGAGATATCAGAAGTGGAATGGACAAGGAAGTCTCCTCTCCCATCACTGGCTGGAACAAATCTAGCTCCCCATATCGCTCGAGCACACGCATCCTGCAATCTTCAGCAGCCATCATTCCAGTGGAGAATGCACCATGAACAGACCCTGGATAGCTCATACTTGTTGCTTCCCCGGCAAAAAACAAGTTATCTACTGGAACACGTAGCCTCTCATACAGTTCGTGGGGTTTTCCTACTGCATCATAGCTATATGAACCTAGTGAATTTATATCTGAGCCCCACCGAGACACGAGATACTGAATCTGCATAGTGGAAACATATTGCCATTTAAAAATTCATAGACCATACTTTTATAAGTAAAAAAGAACATTTACAGACTCCTAAATAGATTGTGTTAAGGCCTCTGTAGCTTAGACACAGGATTAGAGACTGAAGCATTCATTTTTCTTGCACAGTTAAATGGGAAAAGAGTATGAATAATAACAGAAAAGTGATATAAATAAAAAGCAAAATATGTATGGTTACCGGTGAAGAAGCATCAGGAAGAATTTTCTTGAGTTGTGTGAAAGCAAAGTTAGCAGCTGCTTCATCAGACATCTTTTCAATGTCTTTGGCAAGCCGCCCAGAAGGCATATAAACAAGGACAGGATGACCTGCAGCCTTGTGGAGATTAAGGAAATAGCTACATCCATAAGATGTCTCTGCAACTACACCCAAGAACTCCACATTAGGCCAAAACACATTTTCGAAGTGTAAAATGATTTTATTCTCAAGCCCAATTCCTAGATCAGCAATGGCAGCTTCCTTCCAGTCTGGGAGCTTTGGCTCAAATAATATTCTCTTTGCTTTAAGCACCCCAAGTGGGACAGCAACAATTGCAGCATCGGCGAAAAATGTTTTCCCATTCTCCACTGTCACCTTCACCCCGTTATACCGCCTAACTATTTTTGTGACCCTGAAAATGGGGCATTACCAAAGCCAGCAATTTTAATTAAACAAAATAGTACATATAATTCTAAAATAACAATTCAAATTAATACCTACCTGTGCTCCAAGCGAATATCAAGACCCTTGGCAAGAGTATTTATAACAGGCAAGTAGCCCCTGACCATAAGACCGTGACCACCAGGGAGCAGCACTTCCTGTAAGGACACACTAGAAGAGTGATATAATATACAAGTAAAAGTAATTCAGAAAAATAAAAAAGTGATATAAGAAGTTTCTTGTAAGATGATATAATTAGGGACAAAGTATGTCTGTTATCAATCTAATATGCATTCTTTTCCAACATACTATATTACTATATGGTAGGAAGTATAAAGTGCATAACCATTTTCAACCCTACATCCCATAAAGGTGAGGTCATTTCACAACGATGCAATATGATGGTATATCCAAATGACACAGGCTTCCTGGTTCCTACCCCAACCCTATCACCTAACAAAAACATCCCCAATTGATAGCGGAGGCAGAAAATTATAATGATTTTCTTCATTATGTAGTTCAAATTTGTTCCAAATCTTAATAAAAAGGAGTCAGGTAAATGGCATCCATCTGACTCTACATGATGCAATTTGCCTATTATTAACTTATTCAATTTATTACAGGTTTCACATGCATAGTAGCACAAATCCATTTGTATCTCCAGCACTAATCTCTCAGCATTTCAATACATACTCCTATTTGTAGATCAGGAAACTCATTTACACGATTATCGGTCATAGAAAGGCTGCATGTTGAAGACTCATGCACCTGGCTATGAGACGACTTTACAAATTATTTCTTTCACTACAGGAGATACCTGTATGTAACACCAAAGAGAATAGATCATTCAGTACGTAAATTGCGGGGGTGGAGGGGGGAAAAAGGGAGGGGGGGGGTGTTGGGGAAGTTGGAACTAAACAGCTATTTCAAGCAAAATATCTTATACTTGATTTCTTGAAATTACCTGGTCCCAACCTTTCAGTGAAATTGTATCAGAATCTGCAGCAAACCAGCCCTCCATTCTGCATAAATACCACTGAAGCACCTTATGGGCAAGCCCATCCAACCTGGATTTAAAAGTGAAAATCATACTATCAGTTACTAAGCCTGAATAAATAATGGTATCAAAGAAATTAATTTTAATGCCAATAATAACCTCAGTTCTGGGTTCCTTTCAAAAACAATTGAAAGACCACGAAGTACAGACATGTCTTCACTGGATTCTTTTCTTATTTTATCTGTCTGCATTAAGTCATGGACAATCATTTGATGGGATTCTCACAAGAACAGTAAGTATAATTGTCTCAAATAATATGGAAAATTAATAAACAAATGACCTACCTCCTGTAGAATTGTCTCAAATATTTCACCAACTTTTGTAACCAACTCTTGGGGAACCTGATTCCCGTCTGTATCAAAGAGTGCATAGCTACAAGAAATTGATGAATGTCAATAAAAGGGAACTAGCTTACAACAATTTCCAGTATAGAGGATGATCAGAATATATATTAAAATATTTAATTGGTGGCCAAAAAATAATTGAAAATTATCACCTACTATGCAAGTGTAACAGAATTAGCGTAACTAATAAAACATAAAATTCTATGTACTTGCCTTTCCAAATCATGGTCATAGAGCACAGAGTTATCCCCACTAGTACGGTAAAGCGGTAGCCCCAGCCTCCCAATCATTGAAGCCAATGGATTCTCCTTGGAAACTCCATGCAACCTGAACAGCATGTAACTTTTAGTACAAAAACAAATGAAAGAAATTTTGCATTCTCTTCATGATAAATACATCCAAAAATAAAGAGAATGAGCTTTACCATGATGCTCCCAGGTCTACAGGAAAACCAAATGAGTAATCAGTGTGAATTCGGCCACCAATTCTTTCTCTTGACTCTAAGAGAACAACCTGCTCAAAATTTAAAAATAAGAGCACCATTTAGTTGAACTCTGGAAATTTATATTAATAGTTAATTATGGACTACAGAAAGACGTAGGTTCAAGTTTCAAACAAAAAGCAACACAGTAACACAATCCTTTACTTAACAGTAGTTTAATTATTTTGCCACTACTTGCATTATTTGGGAACTGGCACGATTCCTCTCTGTTTACCAAAAATAAAATAAAGGAGATGTTTCCTCAATTCATTTGTTAAGTGTGTGATTGCACACCTTGCGTGGAATTTTATTCCCAAAAATGTGTGAAGTACAAAAACCAGCCCAATTCTAAACTAGCAAATAGCAAGTATCACTCAGGACACTTCACTGGAAACATTACAGGCCTCTACTCAACCAAGCTAACCTACTGACAATCTATAAATTGACTAAAAACAGGGAAAACTCAAAATCATTTATTAATCCACCACTTCTTTCACTGAAATAGAATGCAATTAACATCAAACTTTAGAGTAAAGCCAAACAAACATTCATCATTTCGTTCAAATATAGTTTGAATTCATAACATTTAGCTCGGCTACCTGAAATGAAGCATCATGGAGTGCACGAGCAGCAGCAATCCCAGCCATGCCGCCACCAATGACAATAACAGAAGGTGTCCTCTCCTGCTGCCTGCTAACGTTCCCATAGCAGAGAGCTACGCCAAAAGGGAAGAAAGGAACAACAAAGTGTGCAAGTAAATAACATCAGACATAGTTGAATCGACAAACATCAAAAGAAGACTATTCTTGCACATAGCTTGGGCAACGCTCACTAACCAATTGATTAATAATTCAATACTAAAATCATTTGTCGTGGTCCAATTTCAAATATTTCTCTCATTTTATATCAAGATTTCAATTTTTAATAAAAATTTAATATTTTAAAGTTTTCGCTAAAAAATCATTTAAATTTATATGTATAACAAAAGTTGCCATGCGCATAAGATTATCAGAGAAAAGTAATTAAATCAAAATCATTTCCAAGTAGTCATCGGAGTATAGTTCACAAACCACTAAGAGCACTTTCTTTTTTCTCACATTTATGCGTATGTTTAGAAACTCTCAAAATTTGAAAAAAGATCCTTTATATTTTAAAATTTAAAAACAAATAAAATAAATAAATACTTTTAAAATAAACTCAATAAAAAATGAACTCTTAGAATTAAAAAAAAATGATTATGTTTTAAAAACTATTAATATTTAAAATAAAAGTCGCTTATTTTAAAAAATTGAAAATAAATAATCTTAATCAAATATACATTGAGATTTAGAGTCGTGTAAGTAACTACGATTTTTACGGCGAATATAATATAAAATAATAAACTAAGTTTGGGTATACAAAGCAAAATATAGTAAAATTTTAGTCTATATTTCTAAGTTCAAAAGGAAAGTTAAATCCTCACGATACCATATAAGTTTGCTTAAGCTATAAAAATTGAAATTACTTTTTCTCAAATATATTTTAAGAGTATGTTTTATGTATAAAATAAAATATAATCTAAACGTGGACATATTCGCGTCAAGTAGACACGCACGTGTTTATCACTGTTACTGACATAACCTTTTTCTTCAAAAAATAAAAAGTAATAATAATAATAAAAATAAAAAAAATAAACAAACAAGAAATCTCCTCTTTATTTCTTACCACAAATACAGATATTATTATACTAAAATGCACCGACATTTAAAGATCGTAAAATAATTTCAAAATAATAATAATAATAATAATCACACGATCAAAATCAAACCTCTGGATAATTGAGGATTACTCTTAGTTCTTGACTCCATATTCGGAATAAAGTTTGAGATTACTGTTACTATCGATTAAGAACAGTTCGAAGCTATTGTCGTGGAAATTGGACGTGGAAGCGAGCGATTGAGGCGAAAAATGGAGGAAAAAAATCAACAAACAAGTAACGAAGAAATTGAAATTCAAGTTCGACGATAAATCCAGCTTCCCGAACCAGTTCATGCAGCTCGACTTTCCGAGAAAAAGTTCAACCGCTCTGTAACCGATCGATTACGGAATCGAATTGCAGAATCGACCTGAACTACGGCGAAATCGCGATCCTCGGTTGAGGAACGAGAAGGTTCTGGACGGTTCTGTCGGTGTTTGGCAACTAGGAAAAGAGTTCCTTGAAAAAAAAGAGAGAGAAAGAGAAAGGAAAATCTCTAGAGAGAGGGGATTGTAGAGAGAGAAAGCAGGGACAGTTGAATTGTGATATCAGAAAGCAATTTTCGTTTGAGATTTATAGAGTTAGTTTGTGAAGCTCGTCATTCGTACAAGCCGAACTGGACGGCCACGATCACGCGCTCATGAGCGCGTGGGATATACGTGCTGGAAAAAATCGACAGTTTTTGGCATTTTGGTAATTTGAACTAGGCAAGGGGTGTTTCTATTACGCGCAGGTTACGGACGCAGAAGAGTCAAAGTCAGATTACGAGAGTTGAAAGAAAGATGAAAAAGGAAGTAGAATAAAGTTTTCGCTTTGCACCATAATTGATTACTTTTATCATATCAACGGATGAAAATCTTTTTATTCATTGAGTATTATATGATCCAATTATGGGTACAATTAATTAAAATTTTAAAGTTTATAACTTCTAAGTAATAAGTTAGTTAAAAATGTATATTACTGTCGACTTTTTATAAATAATAATACTAACGATAGATTATAAATTTATACGATATTTTAAAATTCTTTATCGTATCAAATAATTAAATGGATAATTATATTAAATAAATAAATATTTTATTTAAAAAATTAATATTTTCATCTTTTATGTTAAGAGTAAATTTTAATTTTATTTATTTATTTTAGTTTATTAAAAATAAATTCTCAATTTATCTTTTTTTATTAGAGTTGTTACAATATTTAACGGAAACATTTTATGCGAACTTAAAATAATTTAAATAACATTAAGCAGTTGAACATACATTTTTTTTTATTTAAATAGCGTTAAGTAGTTCAACTTATATTTTTTATTTGAAAATTTGTTTAAAAAAGTTATAATTGTATCTTCTCCTTTATTGCAATTTAGGGTTTATATGTTTATCTCTTTCAAACAGTAGAATAAAGGATATAATTTTTAAAGACCATGTTGATAGATGATGTTGAGTTACTATCAGAATAACTAAATTTTTTAAAGATTTTGTAGTATAAAGCTAAATTTAAGTTGATTCACAGAAATACATTCTCAGTAAAATTCAATTTTATGTTTTCTTTTAAAAAATGTAAATAAGATTTTTGGAGTTTTAAAAATTGTAAATTAGTTAAATTAAATTACGAACAGAATAAAATTGAGTAAAAATGAATTAAAAAACATCAATCTATAGAATATCAAATGCGTGTAACTCTTACTATCGCAGTATTTAAATATTTAAATACGCGTTTAAACAATCATCTAATTCAATTATTAATTCAATTGAATAACCTAATTGAATAGAGTTATAAATTAAATCAAATAATTATTTAACTTAATCTACATTAATTATCAAATCAGAGCATCGATCCAGTTCTAATTTGAATTCTAACAATAGAAAAATTAATCACAATCGCAATACACAATTTTGAGATTAGAGAGAAAAAGAGAATAAACTCGGAGCAATTTAGCATAAAACTTAAGTTGGAATTACAGTGTTTGGATTCTGCAGATTGAACGAGAGGTTTAACATTCCATTGAAGCACTTAACCTACGCAAGAATGAGAAAAGAACGAGAGAGTTTGACAGAAAGTAAAAATAAGGATTCTTATTTTAGTCATGTCTTAAAATCTCAAAGTGTTTAATCACCTCTCCTAAATCAGAACCTTATTAGTCTATTTATAAGTTCTAAGGTAAATTAAATGGCCAAAATTTGAGTTTTAATTATAACTATAAACCCAAATACAATTATCTAATAACAAAGGGTCCAAATGCAATCTCACAACAACATTCAGCAAATCTCTCCCAACTTCAAAAAATCATAAAAAATTGAAATCAACTTTAAATTTAGAGATCCATATATACATTTTGAAGTTCTAGATGTGTAGAATACAATGCAATTAGAATAAGCCAAAATGATATCTGTAGAAATAGTTATGGCCAAAAGAGTAGTCAGAAGTCAGAATAATAAAAAATACGAAATTAAAGTATTTATTTGTAACAAACCTAATTTATTAAAATAACTAGAAAATGATAAAAACTCTAAAAATAAAGCATATGGAAATTGTTTCTTAATCAAAATAAAACTATAAATGTAAATAAAAAATATATTAAATCACACGTCTGTAGATATGTTTGAATATTTTATTTTTTTTATTATGATGTGAGGAGTGTTTATCATATAGAATAAATATACAGAGCGATTTTTGAAAATAGAAAAATTATGAGCTAATTTTTTAAGGATAAATAATTGAATTTTCTTTATGTGTATAAATAAGTGCTTTATTTTAATGTTATTAATCTATTGTATAATTTTTATTTTGATGAGAGTTTAGGGTGTTTCAAATGGAGAAAAGATGATGAAGTTAAAGATAACAAAATTGTACTATTGAGACAAAGGAGAAGAACTTTACATATTCAATACTCACTCAAAATTAGCATAAAAATATTAAAATTTTAAGTTTCATTTGAGTATCAGTGTAGTAGTTCATGAGTTATTTATAGTGTTGCTTGATAAGTTTGTATTTTAGCATATTTTTCTATACTTGATCTTTATTTAAATGAGTTTTACATTAACAATTCTACTGATTATCGCAGTTTAACATGTTAAGAGCTCTAATGTATTATTAAAGTGTTTTGGACATAAATTAATAAAAAAACATAAGGCAAGCATACTCATGCTTTAGTAATAAGCACATCTATGCTTCGATCCATATGCATGATCATGCATATTAGTGTGCATGGTCGTGCTCATCTTATGGTGCATCTAACTTGAAGATTTTTAAAGGATATGTAAAGAGAGAATTTGAAATTTAAATTTGCCAAATCATATATTTCTTTTTAGTATGTCATATCTTTATTAGAGATAAAACATATCTCTTGTAGGTAATAATCATCATCTCTTATAGATTCTAAACCTATTTTAAAGTTAACTTTGAGGGTTACAATTTAGATATATTGTTTTTGACGCGCTTTTGACGCGCTTTTGACGGTACTTAGAGTCATTAAGAGCGAAAATCACTAACAAAGAAAAAGACAACTTCTTTGGAATCTAAGCAATTGATTAAAAGCATGTGTGAAGAACAAGAACTATTTTCATTCCTATCTCTTGGGAATTTTTTTAGTTTGCATTCTTCTTTTAATTGAATATGAATTTATTTATGATTGTTTACTTTAAGATGAGCAGTTAAATCTATAGTTAAAGCTATGGTAAACCCTTTGCATGACCTTTATGTGATATTTACATTTAATGATAATTTCAGTTTCCATTTGTGATTGATTTTTATTCTAATACATATAAATGTATGTTAGGAATTGACCACTCTTAGTATCTCATAATTAACTGCATCGTCATAGGTGATTATATAACATATAGTTAATGGAACTATAGGATAAAATGGGACAAAAAATTAAGTGGATCAAACTTAGTTTTTTTTTCCAATCATTATTAAATTAACAAGTTCACAGGTACTTTATGTTTTCTCTTTCTTTTACCTTGCATGACAATTCAGGGTAATAACTTAAGAAAAAAACTATTAACATTACATAACCATTGAGTGTTAATAGATTTAATATGCGTAATTGACAATCATAAGAAAAATAAGATTAGAATTATGCTAAAAGTAAATATAAAGAAGTGTAAAGGTTAAACCATACGTCTTAGGTTCTTTTCTAATGGTTTAATTAAAAGTTGTGTTATTTTATTCGCTTTCAATTACTTGTCAATTTGATTTGTTCTTAGTTTAATTTTATTATACATCCTCTTAGTTTAAACAATTAAATTAAAATATTCTTGATACTTGAAGACAATCTTTGTGGGACAATATTTCAAGAACTTATTTTACAATCTCTTTATTACTTTTGACGGGTATACTTGCATACAAACAAGTTTTTGGTGCTGCTGTCAAAGATTATTTTTACAATATTAAAAAAATTTAATGTTTAATTGAATTGAAGAATTGTTATTTTAATTTTAATTTTAATTTTTTTGTTTTGTAAATCCTTATTTTTAATTTTTTCTATTTTATTTTTATATAATTTACTTTGTTCCATGCTCACTCGATCTATGTATTCTACAATTTGTTTATTTGATTTGAAAATTAAAAGAATTGTGTGAACACAGAGTAAAAAGAGAGTAAAGGATGGCAGAGGAAAGAGATCAATGCAAGATTATGTTACATCTACTGTTGGAGGTGTTTTTAAAAGCATTTCAGCCCTTTATGTGGAGCCCAACAACTTTGCGCTAAATTCAATGTTAATCATTATGGCTCAAAATTTTGCACAATTTGGAAGAACGCCTAATGAAGACCCCAACCTCCATCTAACAAAAATTCTTTGACTCATAAATGCTATAAACTACAACATGGTCAACAATAATATTATTAGGCTTTGCCTTTTCCCATTCTTTGTAAAAAAAAGGTGAATACATGGTTTGTCATGTTACCATCTGATTGAATCATAACATGTGAGGACCTGACCTCAGTAATTCTTGGAAAAATACTTTCCTCCATCTACATCTACTAAGCTTATGACATATATATCTAGTTTTCCTATGTAGAGACAGATGCAATTTTTTTATAGTAGGCTATTAGTCTCCAATAGAGGCATGGTTGATGCAACAACTGGATAAGCCATCATGAAAAAAGATCCAAACAAGACATATACATTGGTAAATGAGATGATATTTGCTGGTTTTTAGTGGCACACAATTGACAATCTTTGTAGGATAATATTTCAAAAATTTATTTTAAAATTCTTTATTACTTTTCAACAAGTACACTTGCCTACAAATACTTTCAAGAAACCATAAAAATATCAGAGCTTGAATTTTAGTTGGAGCAACAAATTGAGAGGGGAGATAAAATGTTTGTAATTGTAGAGATCAAATTAGAGATGAGATCATATTCTTAAGAGATGAGATCATAATCTTTAGAGATCAAGGTACAATTGGAACAACATGCTAGTCTTTTGACTTAAAGAACTTTGAAAAAATTGCCAACTCAACTTGAACCAAACCCTAAAGAGAAAGTCAAGGTCATCACTCTTAGGAGTTGAAAGAATTTAAAAGAAATGCATAACAT